AGAATGTACTTTAGGAGAAATGTATAGTCTTAAGTGAGACTATTAGAAAAGAAAATAAGATGAAATTTAAAGAACAAAGTTTTAAAGTCAAGAAGTTACACAAAGAACAGAAGTGATCCAAATAAAGAAGAAATCATGAGATAGTTAAAATAAGAGGAGAAATTAAATGAGCAGTAAACAAATATGTGTGTTTAAAAAGGCTGCTATTTGAGGGCTAGGGCTGTATCTTGGTGGCAGAGTGCCCACCTCACACATGTAAGGCACTGGGTTCGATCCTCAACACTGCATAAAAATAAATAAACAAAATAAAGATATTGCGTCCATCGATAACTAAAAAATATTTTTTAAAAAAGTGGCTGATATTTGAGAAAGACTGACATAGCCAAAAGTTCATTCTGTGGGAAGAGCAATAAAATAAACAAATACTGGTGAAATGATAAAGGACCAAAAATCAGGAGCAAAAAAGAGGATGTACTACAGTTGCAATAGAGATTGATACTGTTCGTATTTAAAGACTATCTTCATAGCCCACCTTCTGCCAATACAATTCACATCCATTCCATGTACAAAATGCATTCACCCTCCTCCCATGTCCCTCAAAGTCTCACTCCACATGACAGCAGCTCAAAAGTTTAGGATCTCGTCATCTAAATAAGATCAAGGTGCAAATTAGGCTCTTTAGGTACAACTGTTGAAGGCTGGAGATTATGGGAAAGGACCAAGGAGGGAGCCGCAGACTGACACCTCAAGAACAGAGAGATCTGAACAGGTGGCAGCTGTCAACTCTAAGCATTAGAACAAATAATGCCGGGTTAATAAGTTGTCTCCTTCAAGAAGGAAAAAAGTTCAGTGAAGAGACAGAAACCACCCAGTTATTTGGACAGGGAAAGTTTAATGCAAAGAATTATTAACTAAAACACTCTTGTTTTGGATTTCAGAAGTAAAAATAAATTTTTATTTTAGCAGTCATTTGAGGTTGTTAAGATTGACCTGTTAAACTGCTTGCATTTCATTAACCTCTACAGTAGGATTATATGAGATGTTGAATTTTTATATATTGTGTGTAGGTATTGTTTGCATTTTGTAGAACTTTGTATTGCATTTATGATCAGTATTGTATACAATATAGGATTTTTTTTCAATCAAAGATTCATATCCCCTTCTTCTGTCAATACTGGGAATTGAATCACAGAGCCTTGCATGTACTAGGTAAGCATTTCACCACTGAGCTACATCTCCAACCTCTAGTAATTCCTTTTTGCTTAACATTTTGGTGGAAAATACAAAGTCAGGTGGTTGTACGAGGTCTGTAAGTATAGAAATCAATCTGTTATCATTTCTTGTTTTTAAATTTATATAATTCACATATTATAAAATTCACACAAGTGTACAATTCAGGGGTTTGGAGTATATTTAGAAGATTACACAACCATCACCAAATAAATACATGTTTAAAAAAACCATAAATACATGATATTTAGTAATCCAGCGTTTTCTGCATATGCATATGGATATTAATTCTATCGCCTCCCATATCTTTCATTCATGAATCCTCCCCACAACAATCACCTGATTGATTATATTTTACTTCCTTAGGTAGCAAGATGGGCAGAGTCTGGGAGTCAGTGCTCCTGATGAGTGAAATACCCTTCTTCCACCTCCACATATCTATTCAAATCTCTCTTAGTCTGATTGAACTGAAGGAACACACATCACAGACTGTGTGGCTTAAATAACGGAAATGTATTTTTCCACAGGTCTGAGGCTAGAAAATTTAACGTCAAGGTGCCATTCAGTTTGGCTTCTGATGAGGGCTCACATCCTGGCTCACACCACCACTTTTCTCTGCGTTCTCACATGCTCTTTCCTTAGTGAATGCCTATGTGGAGATGGAGGGGGTGGTTCTCTGGTTTCTCTTACATGGACACTTATCCCATCAGATTAGGGCTTCCACTTATTGCCTTCATTAATTACTTCCTTACAGGCTTCATCTTCAAGTACAGCTACATTGGAGGTTAGGACTTTGACATATGATATTGAGTGTATCTACTGATTTCCTAGGACCTTCCTAAGAAACAGTCGTATTCTCTGTTCACCATTTTATTCAGACACATACAAATTAATCTGATGGGTTGGTAAACCCCTGACTGCTTGCAGGAAAGCTCAATTGTGTACTTGAGAGAAAATTCAAGAGGAGGAGTAGGCACAAAAAACCAAATTCAGCCACAAGGACTGATTTTGAGAGGGGAGGCTGAGAGGGGAATAATAGATACTATGTGACACAACACCAAAGACACCATTCACATCCTAATCTACTTGAGCGGTATTTCCTGGAATTTTTGTAGTACAAAACTCATAAGACCATATGTGCCTTAGGTAGTAGTTCTGAGTGCAGTGTTAGAAACTGCTGGCACCTTTCCTGAAACCTTTTCAAATTCAGACACTCTGGAGGTATGCCTGTGGAGAATTTCCTTATGCATAAGCAGAAAAAGCTGGATTACTAAATATCATTTTTATTTTTGGGTCCTCTTTGCTATGAGACCATCCTAATTGAGTTAATGTTGAGGGATCAACTACTAATTAAAATTTTTTGGCTACAAGCAACAGAAACTAATTATGACTAACTTGAGGAGGAACATAAAATTTATTTTTTAAAAAAGTGCAAAAATTAATAGAATCAATACAATCTGAAAAATTGTGTATCTCAACAGTCAATTATCTATATATACAGGAATCATGGCAGTTCTGGATATGTAGGTCACAGAAATGAAAAGAAAATTTTCTCAGAATGCTGCCCAGAATGAATCAGCTTCAAGAGTTTTCTATATTCCTGCCTCCCACTAAATTCTTTTTCCAGAGACAGCATTTCCAACTGGTCTAGTTGTGATTGGATGGCATCCTCTGACAAGGGAAGGGCATTAAACCATGATTGACAGCCCCACCAAGCCAGCGTGCAGTGGGGGAAGGGGTGTTCTTTAAAAGAAAGAGATAGAATGCTGATAGAGAAAAACAACAGATGTCCTCTGCATTCCAACCATGGGTTGCCAAGCAACATCCTCCCACTTTTTAAAATACCATATACAATTTTTAAAATGCCTCTGTCTAACATAATATAATTATCTCAAAGGCAAACAAAAGATACACTCAATTCCTTCCAAAAGGAGACAACCCATGTCCAGTTATGGCATCCATTCTTTCCCTGGTTCCGTTATGATCCTCCTCCATATTTTGCATCTTGTAGACAAAATGACAAGTTTAACCATCACCTATCCACAGCACACACAATTCTAGAGGAAGAGAAAAGAGAAGAAAAGAATAATTACTTTTAAAATATATCTGACTTTATACATGTTAGTATATGCAAATATACTTCAATAAAAGAGAAAATATATCCATGACACAGCAAGGAAGAAATAGGGTTGAAGCTACCGTCCTCATTTCTAGAGTTGATGCTGGTATTTATGACTTTGTCCTCCCCTACCCAATTCATATTCTCTTGCCATTGACTGGCTAGCACCTCCGTTACTTTAGTGCTTTATCAGGTGGGTTGTTAAACCCAGACTTCAAGGTAGCACCCAGTAATTCTCATCTCCCAGTGTTTGTGCCCTTCTGGTACCCTTCTACATTAAATATACCCTATAATATTTCAGATTATTGGAATTACAGTTTTTCTCTAGTGTAGCTACATTTTCTGCTCTCAGATGCTGACCACTATGGTTTTCAACTCTCTCTTCAGTTTGTACCCTAGAGATTTCCCTGACATCTCACAAATTCAATTCTGCATTTCTTTATATTTTGGCCATGATTTCTAAGTATTTACACAAGAACTTCTCCTGGTTATCTAGTCTGCCAGATTGCTGGAGTTGAAAGTCCTGTGTATTTACTTTTCTATCTCCCCAACAAGAATGCAAACTCTGTAGGGACTGGGAAGATACCTTGTTCATATTTCTGTTCCCATAATCTAGCACTGTGCCTGGAACATAGAAAGCATTCATTATATGTTTGTTGAATGAATGAATGTAACCAGGGAAGAACTAAATGACATAACTGAACATGGATTTTTTCCTTTTGAGAAAAGTTGAGTGCTTTTTCTTTTCTTTTCTTTCTTTCTTTCTTTTTTTTTGGCTTATATGTGAAAAAAATTACATTAATTAATTAATTAATTAGAAGGTACATAAAAAACTTTTGCCCACTTAGCAAACATCTCTTTTAGAATTGTCTGCTGATAATTTAAACTTTTTTTTTTATTTGGAATTTTATGTTGTTTTAGTTGTAAAACATCTATTATTTAAGTGAAACAGTTGACAGGGTAAAACACTGCTAAACTTCGCAAAACTTCTTTTGTTCCATAGGATTTTGATCCTTTCTAAAACAATGGCATACAAACTGAGTTATAAACAATTCAGCCTCTATAAATGACAACAAACACAATATATCTATAGGAGGTTTAAAAGATTTGTTTTTAAATATTCAAGTGTAATGCTATTGTAAAAGATTAAAACACATGTGTAAATTTTCATTTGTTCCTAACCTGCCATTAGTATGTAGGTTTACTGGGCTGCCAAACAGCCCTACTGGTCATGGATAGAGATGGTGTTACTAGTTGAAAAAAGAGCATGGATACCACGACATTTACCCCAATGGTATAAAACCCATCTTTGCATCCCTGAAGTAAGAATGGCCACTTTTCTCCAATTACATTGCTCTATACTAAAGCAGCATTGTATATGGAGAATTTCTTCAAATCTATAACATTCTACTACTACAAATACCAATTCAAAACTTAAAAATAATCACAGACCAAATCCACGTACCCGTGATCCTTTGTAAATCCTAAAATGAGAAATATTCTTAGTTTAAACCAAGAATTATATTGGAATGAACTAAAGACTCTTTTAAGTAATTTTAAGTGTACTCTTGTTATTACATTTCTATATAGATAATTCAATATCGTTTGTGGACATAATTTAATCAATAATATATCACAATGTCAACCACTACAGTGATCCAGAATCAGATTCTGGCTACAGAGGAAGCTTAATTATTAAGCAACACCTTCCTAAAAAGCTTCTGTATTTCTGATTGGTAAGAAAAACAAAACAAAACAAAAAAGCTCTCTCATTGAAATAACACTGAAGTTCGAGCTGGGCCCCCTTCTTTGTATTCAACATAATTAACTCTTCAGGATATAATGATGAAATATAGTCACATTAATAAATTATAGCCATCTTCATGAAAACTCTATCGGTAACTCCGGTTTTACAACTGTATATCCTGGATCCAATCTGGGGACGAAACCCTGAAAGTGTTTAGATGCACAGTACCAAAAACATCCAGGGCTTTTCGATTCATGACAGCAAATCTGCCCTTGGTGAGCCTTAAAAGGAACTTCCAGTAAGACGGTCGCAAGGTCTGAACTTCATGACAGCTGCCTGGAAACAAATTGCTGTAGAGATGGAATACATAATAGTATCTGCATGAGGAAAATAGGGAACCTTCCCTGCTTCAATGCCTTTGAAATACATTGTCTCTACCAGTTTGGAAGCTAAATACATGGAAATTGTTGTGCTTTTATAAAACATCATTGATATACCCGCCAAAAATCCAGCTATAATAGCATGTAGTTCATCATCCAGGTTTCTGATCCAACGCAGAAAGCAACTAGTACCCTTGTATATACTAACAAAAGAACCAAGAAAAGCTCCAAGCTGGAAGTTTTCTTTATTGTAGAAGAGAGAAAGTAGCCGGGATGGCTTTGTAAACAGATGCCTAAATGCAGAGGGGATTCAGGCAGCACTGGATCAAGTATCCCACGCTAAACATTCTGATGAAACCTTTAATGCAATAAGAGATACAATTATCTTCATAGTGTTTGCAACATCTATGCCTTGGTCCATGCTTGCATATTAAATTCACAAGTTTCCTAACTAGAGAAATTATATGCATTCTTCTTGGTTTTTCCTCGTGTTTCTCTCTCTTTTGTTCCACTTTTGCATATGCTGCCTCTGGTGAATAAGAATGTGTGGGAATTTCTTCCTTGCCTACAATGAACCTAAGTGCAGAAAATGTAAATCCTTTCAAACCATCTTTGCACCTGAAAAAGAACATGTACATGGCTGCTGTTATGCAGAACAAAAAGACTTCTCCATTTCTTAATGTTGTGATGGCTCCTCTTGCCACACCCATTCTAAATAGTGTTTCTGTAGCCAAGTTGGCCATATAAATTGTGAGCAGCCCTCTCCTGCTTTTTCTTTCAATTAGAATGGCCATATAAGATGCTGGTAAAGCGGCACCAAAGCCAGGAGTCCATGAGTAGAATTTTCCAAGTATCTTCCTTAAAGTGCAGAAGAAAGTAATATACAAGGCCCCATTAGCAGTCAGAAATGAAGCGGATTGTAGGATCTCAGGGAGTAGTTTGTACAAATAATAGTCTAATTTTCGTTTCCGGAGAATTGCTGCAATCAAGTACAGGGGGGCATAGATCTTCAGGGACTCCTCCAGGGCGCCCCAAGTGACCTGCAGGAAGGAGACCCGGCAGGAAGGGTGCCAAGTGTGGCCGATCTCGTAGCAGTTATGAGGGATGGACTTGCTGAGGGCCGCCATGACGAGGAGAAGCGCGGAGGGGCCGGGAGGGGGACAGCTGGGGCTCGGGACCGAGCGGCACGCGCGCCCAACCGCCGCCCTCTCCTGATAATTTAATCTTGAGACTTGGTTTTTACATATTACTCTTTGACCTACAAAAAGAGTGGTCAAAGTTTTACTTTTTATATTTATTGTTTTTTAAGCCTTCAAAGTCTCCAGAGGAAGTGGAATTTGGTTATGTCAAATTAGCTATCACACTGACAGGTTATAGATTTCTACAGGACAGGGTAAAAATTTATTAGCACAAATGTATTATTTACATTGGTAATCATAAACCAATGGATGAATATTTCAATGACTGACTTTAAAATTTGCATTGTTGGGCTGGGGCTGTGGCCCAGCGGTAAAGCACTTGCCTAGCACATGCAAGGCCCTGGGTTCAATCCACAGCACTACATAAAAATAAATAAAAATAAAGGTACATAAAATTTTTTTTTTGCATCGTTTAGAATAGGTGTCTCATAAACTATGGTGCTTGACCAGGTTAATTTTGTGTTTAAAAGAGATTTCTTTTGATTTTTTTAAAATGAAAATTTATTTTTAACTGATACATAAAAATTGTACATATTAATGAGGAACCAGTAAAGTGATGTTTCAACTCATGTATACATTATGTAATATTTAAATCAGGCTAAATGTCTCTGTCTCATAAATAATTATCATTTATTTCTTTATGTTGAAAACTTTCAAAATCCTTTCTCTGAGCTTTTTGAAATGTACAGTACATTTTTGTTTTCTATAGTCACTCTACTATATAATAGCACACCAGAATTTCTTGCTTCTGACTGGAATTTGGTATCCACTGATCAACTTTTCCCAGTGCCTTCTCCCTCAAAAAAGAATTCTTGATTATCTTTTTCCAAACCTGCACTTGACCTTATCTTCACCTTTTCTGAAATTTCTTTTAGTCATTCAGGTCAAATCTTAGAAAACAACCTTGAGCCCTATTTTTCCTCCCATTTCCCAGCTCCCACCCTGCATCCAACTCATTATCAGTTCTGTTGGCTCTCCTTTCAAAACATATCCAGATTCCACCTCTTCTCAGAAATCCTCAATACCAAGACTAAACCTCTGTCATCTCTCATCTACACTAAACTCATCTGCCAGCTTTCACTCTTGTCCCCAATATGAGCTCTCCACATGGCCGCCAAAAGGAACTTTCCATTCAAATCAAATCCCATCAGATATAGCTGTGGTTCAATTAAACAGGCAGCTGGAAAACATAGCTCCTTGGCCATACTGTAAGAAGTCTGGGGCCATCTCATAAAAAAATAAAAATAACAAAAAATAAAAGAAGTGGGGCTGGGGATGTGGCTCAAATGGTAGCGCGCTGGCCTGGCATGTGTGCGGCCCGGGTTCGATCCTCAGAACCACATACAAACAAAGATGTTGTGTCCGCTGAAAACTAAAAAATAAATATTAAAAATTCTCTCTCTCTCTCTCTTTAAAAAAAAAAAAAACACACACACACACACCTGGGTTCGATCCCGAGTACCAGGAAAAAAAAATTAAAAAATAAAATAAAAGAAGTGTCATATTCCATCCTTAGCAAATAAAATAGAAATATATATATATATATATATATATATATATATATATATATATATATAAAAAGAGGGGTATGTTGCTGCTACAGGAAGTTATAAAATAGCAGAGCTTGGCCTAATCATCTTGGCTCATCTCCACACTTCATTGTTCTGTGCAAATAGCTTCTGAGCAATCAGCTTGGGAATGCTGGGAAAATGGTCATAATAACCCGGATGTTTTCTGGATAGGTTCCTTCTATGTCTAGTGGATTCTCTTATTTCAAAGTCCATCCCTGATGACTCAAGCTTTCTGCTCTGATGTTATGCCATCCATTCAGCAAAAATGAATATAATGAATTTTGGTTCTTTTCCACACTGTCTTCCAGAAGGATTGATCAGAAATACATCTCAGGTATACTTGAGGTGTATTTACTGAGAAGCTAATGAAGCTTAAGACTTAGGACTTATATGACACCCTTCCAAGGCTCTCTATTTTATTTTGTATTTATTCTTTTATTTATATAGAGAGAGTACCAGGGATGTACCAGTGGTTAAGTACCCACATCCCCAACCCTTTTTTATATTTTACTTAGAGTCAGGGTCTCACTATGTTCTTTAGGGCCTTGCTAAATTGCTAAGGCTTGAGCTTATGATCCTCCTTCCTCAGCCTCCCAAGTCTCTGGGATTATTAGGCATGTGCTCTGGCACTCAGCAATATTCTTTTTCTTGAGAAGGACTCAAGTCATTTTCAACCAAGTTGACAGTTATGAGAAATAGGAAATTCAGGCTGTCAATGACAAAGAACTAGAGGAAGAAGCAAGTACAGGGTTCTTGTGGTCTTCTATTTTGCTGATCAAGGTTATCATTCCTCTGAGAAACCTTCTCTCCTAGCCAACCCAAGTCACTCATCATCCATAGCCTAAACTCAGCAAACACTGCTTTGGGCCCTTCCTAAGAATCCTGATATTGCCTGCTGCATAAACATTGGTAAAACTCCACTGGGAAAGATTTCTAAATATCTTTATTATGAAACTGCGGTCCAGTTTGATCACTTCTTTACAGTACAGGAGGGAGACCCAAGTGCAACAAGTAGTTTCACTTGGCCTTCCCTTTCTACTGCATAGATATGAGCTAAAGTCTGGGTGTGTGTTTAAACTTCTTGGAACACAGCAAAATATCTGATTTATCAAACTTCGCTATAAGAAAGACTGTAATTTAGAGAGGTTACCTTTGCTATAAAAGCAGCAACTCTTTAGTTAGGCTGCTACAGATGCCCCACGGGTAACTAAAAGCAGGACAAAGCTTAGCTTCTCTGCCTTCATTTTGTATCTGTCTTCTTTATTACCTCAAACTTTGGGTCCAGTTCCTGCTCAGCTCTGCATGTAGGCATGTTAATCATTCAAAATGTTCATATAAAAACTGATAATGCTGGGACTGGGGATATGGCTCAAGTGGTAGAGCGCTCCCCTAACATGTGTGAGACACTGGGTTCAATTCTTAGCACCACATTAAAAAAACAAAAAAACAAAGATATTGTGTCCACCTAAAACTAAAAAAATAAATATTTAAAAAAATAAAAAATATAACTGATCATGCAAGGTTTATTAGCCCTAAATTTACTTAACCTGTCCTGTCCCTCTGCAAGACTGAGGCCAGATTTACAGGGGGCATCCTGTTTCAAACCCCTGGAGTGGTGCCTAGAAGTCTCCGGTCCTTGTCCCACACCTTCCAGGAGGAGGGGGAGACAAGTATCACCCCATATTGAGACTGCACCCCACTCCCAAACAGGAGTTTATCTCATGGGAACTAAATTGCCCCCTTCCAGGATCACAGGTCTGATGCATAAACATCCTGAGCAGCAAATGGAAATTGCCCCTTTAAGTGTTAAGTATTTCTCCGGAGCCATCTCCTACAATCAGAACTGAGAGAATGATCAGCCAGACCACAGTTGACCAAGATTGCTTACTTATGCCTACCTCTTGCCTTCTTCCTCTGTTTATACTTAAAGCTCATGTCAGCACTCCCACAGACAGGGCTAAGATGCTTGTTCTCACGTTGCTTTCCCAATATGGCCATATTCCTGCTTTTCATCATTACCTTTTTTATTTGGTTGGTTGGAGCAAGTGGCTGGACCTGGTTAGTTGGGAGCTCCAGAGTCAGGGCTGTGGCTTAGGATGCCATTAACAAAATTCTTTGCTTTGATCTCCGCCCTGAGTCCTGGATGAAATTCAAGATTTGTAATTACTTAAGTCGCTTCACTTTTAGGCAAAATTATAGTGATGGGTATGATTTAGATGAGTGTCCCCTAAAGATCCATGTGTTAAAGGCTTGGTTTCCAGAGTGGTACTACTGGGAGGTGATGGAACCTTTGAGAAGTGGGGGCCAGGAGGAGGTCTTTAGAACCTCAGGTATGTATCCTGTAAGGGGATGGTAGGCCCTAGCATGTTCTCTTTCTCCTCGGCTTCCTAGCTCATGAGGCGAGTGGTTTGCTCTGCACATGCTCCTGCCATTGTGTGCTGCCCACACCAGAGGCTCAGAGCAGTGTGCTTGCCCAATCTTGGACTGGCGCTCTAGAACTGTGAGCTAAATCAATCTCGGTACTGGGGATCCAATCCTGGGCCTTACACTTGCTAGCTAAGTGCACTACCACTGAAGTATACCCCAGCCCTTCTTTTTTTTGGCGGTGGGTATCAGGGATTGAACTCAGGGGCACTCGACCACTAAGCCACATCCCCAGCCCTATTTTGTATTTTATTTAGAGACAGGGTCTCACTGAGTTGCTTAGCACCTTGCTTTTGATGAGACTGGCTTTGAACTAGTCTCAAACTGCTGGGATTATGAGTGTGCCCCACCATGCCCAACTACCCCAGCCCTTTAAAAATTTTTATTTTGATGTTTATGAGTCACCACTAAAAATTACTCTCAGAAGTATATAATTCTCAGAACCTAAAACCCAACTTCATCTCTTCTATACTTCAGGGAATGGCAAATTGAAGATTTCATTATTGATATATCTTAATTTCCACTTACATATCAAATTGATAAGATCAATATATTCCTGGTTAAATTAGATGTGCAGAATATTGCAATTTCTCAGCTAAGAGGTCAAGGTAGCAACTCAAGTTACCAGTCTGGTTAAAAAATCACTCTACATTCTGCTGTCATATATAACAAATTAAAATTAAAAAAGAAAAAAATCATTCTAGTTTTAAACTTTACCTAATATTCTGTATTTCCCTCCTATCTATTCAGTGTCATATACCCAGGAGCTTTACCAGCAAATTGTATGGTTGAAAAAGGCCACTGCTTTTTTCCTTAGCTTCTTACAACTGTACCACATATAATATCATTGTAAATAGGATAGTTCTATTAAATACAAGACCCTACTTGATGGGTTTAGATTTTCAAGTCAGAGGTTCAGAACTGGAGAAAGCTAAATAACTCT